TGAGCAGGGAGCCCGATGCGGGACTCGATCCCGGGACTCCAGGATCATGACCTGAGCCGAAGGCAGTCGCTTAACCAACTGAGCCACCCAGGCGCCCAACACTATTTGCTTCTTTAGATAGATACTCAAAATGGAACATGAGTCAGCAACATTATGGTATTTAAAAATAAAAAACAGAATCAAATGCACAAATAAAACCTACAGGAAATTCCCATTCTCAACACTAATCAAATTTGGGAGTGTTTTTTTCACTCTTAGGAGTTCAGATAAATCACATTGCAATTTAAAAACTTATTTGACTTTGTAAACTCCTGCTCAAAACTCAATACAATCATTATTATAGCTAGTTACCATATAAGGTAACTTTGAAGAGCTGGGGATAGCTGACTGTCCTAGGTTAATTTGAAGCAGAAGAGAGCAATTGTTATACAAAGTAAATTGGATGTAGTCTTCCTTAAAATCCATTCTCTGCATCCTTTTTTATGCCCTCATCTTTGGCACTTAATGCGTGCTATAGGTATCTTCTATTTTTCTTCCTTCCTTAATTTCCTCTGTATTCCTTAAATTGTTATTTGACTGCAGTCTCTTTTGTTCATTATACAAGCATGTCTTTGTTTTGAACATAACTGATTTGATAGGTACTTTAGTTTCTCATCAAACATGGTTTTGCTGTGCATAACATTTTCTTTGGCCAACTGCAGCAATTTCCCATATTTACTAGGTCACTCCTCTGGCATTTGGGCATGCAGTCATGGTAACTCCCATTTTCTTTTGTAATCCAATTCCTTCCATTTAGATAGGTTACTTAAATGATAACTTTTCTAATATTTCTGCTTGCAAACTAAAAAAAAATTACCTCTAAACATTGCTACCTTTCCCAGTTTTCAGTCATTCCACAGTTTCATGACTTAAAGGAAAGAACATTGGAAAGGCTAAGAGAAAAGCAACTACAATGATTAGATGGTCTTCATAAATTCAACTTTAAAGGTGTGATTATTTAGACAGAAGAGAAGAAAGTCAAGTAAAAACCTAATAGTTATGTAGTCTCATGAAACTTTGATGTTCAGAGGCTGATCACTACATGCTTTTTCCTTCTGTAGGAGGAGGACGGAACGTGGGCTTTGGATGCATCATAAAGACCTTGGGTTAGACAATTTTTCTAAAGTGAGAACAAAGGAATGAGTTGCCCAGGAAATAATGATCTTTAAAGATACAATGGATACTCATTCATCTGGATTTGTTTAGGTGTGGTCCTGGCTGAAGACAAAGAGAAGGATCAGATAACTTCATGCTTTTTCTATTTAATATACCCACTAGATTCTTGATTAGGAGAAGGGAAAATGAGCAAGATACAGCCCAGGATCCTAACAACAATCAGCCTTAGGGAGTCATTTTAAAAGCATCTGATTTGCTTTAGTACTTAAGTCTTTAGTACTTAACCAAATTGACTACGTAGTGAAAATTTCTAGTGCCTAGGTTTTATAGGGTAAAAGGAAATGGAGTCAAATGGCCAACACTTCATGTTAAGGTCAGTGAGATTCTCCTTGCTGTAGTTCTCTTGTGACTGTTCTGGACAACATCAAATTAGTTTCAGTGGCTTGATTCTAGGCCAAGATTCTGACAACACATTGTAGTCTCACTGTTTTGTTCAATCTCACTGGATTTTTCTCTCGTATTTTTCTTTCCCTTAGGCTGAGGGTAAAAAGCTGGGATTGGTTGGCTGGGTCCAGAACACTGACGAGGGCACAGTGCAAGGACAATTGCAAGGTCCCATCTCTAAAGTGCGTCATATGCAGGAATGGCTTGAGACAAGAGGAAGTCCCAAATCACACATCGACAGAGCAAACTTCAGGAATGAGAAAGTCATCGTAAAGTTGGATTACTCAGATTTCCAGATTGTGAAATAATGACCTGAATTTAAATTTTCTAAGATAAACTCACTGGTTTTGTTTTTATTGTTAATATAGAACAATCTGTGTTCAGTATTAGAATTGGTCAGTAAGTTATGTTAGTATCAGATATTTGAATATTACTGTATATTATATGTATGATAGAAAGATGACAGACTCTACACAATTCTAAATAAAAATACATTAGAACCTTCTGCATAGGGTACTGTCTTTATCTTTGCTGAACTTCATTTGGGGCAAAATAAGAGGTATTTATTCAGTAAACATCTGTGGGAAGAGAATTTTGATGTTATTTATTTATTTATTTATTTATTTTTTAAAGATTTTATTTATTTATTTGACAGAGAGAGAGATAGTGAGAGCAGGAACACAAGCAGGGGGAGTGG